CCCCTTACGTGTGGATAAAAGCCATTTCCCGACAAGCGCATAACCCTTGATTTACACATCTGACTGTGTTCAACTGCACTCCATATTTTCAAAAGATTACCTGCAATCAACCCCCTGACAGGCAACAAATCCTAAATGTACTGCATTTTAAAAGTGGTCATTGTAAGGGAGACCAGATGGGATAGGGCATCATAAACACCTTTAATTATACCTCCAGGTTCAAGCAGCACCGTCATTCTGAAATGAAATGAACAACTAATAACAACAGCCACTGCGCGATAGTGCAGTTGACTATATGCTCTTGCAACAAGGTGCACTTTTCTAAAAAAATACGGCATTTGCAAAATTCAGCAAACAGAAGGCTTGATCCTACTGTTCAGCCACACAAAAATGTGTAACTGCAGAAAATTGTGAGAGGAAAAATCTCACACATTACTCAGCTTGGTTAACAACAACTTACATTTATATATAGCGCCCTTCACATGGGATAGTAACTGAGAGCTTTTGACTGTAGCAGTGGCTTGATGCTGAGCCAGAGAGAGGAAGGGAGGTGAAAATAGACACAGTCAAAGAAGGACTTCAGGTGCGATCTGAAGATGGACAAGGAGGGAGAGGGATTGAATCTACGGAGTTAATCTATGATAATAAAAATTCTTGCATTTGATGTAACACCTATCATATTGTCAAGATGTTTCAAAGTGTTTTGTGGGAATTTACTGTGAAGTGCATTGGCTGTGTATTTTGTAAGCGAACGTGAGCAGCAATAACCCAAAACAGTGATGTGGTGAGTCAGGATTGTGTAAACTGATCTGCAGCTCAGACAATATCGGATTTTTTTACTTTTCAAATAACTTTAAGAAAATAATAATAATCCTTGCATTTGTTATGCCAAGTCAGGATGATATCTCAAAGCAATTCACAGCATTTACTGTAAAACGTAGATGAATGCAGCAGCCAATTTGTGTATAGCAATGTCCCATAAACATCCAAATAAAATCAGGTGAGCGACCAGTTTTACTTGGGAGTTTGTTGGCAGGACACCAGGAGAAACTCCCTTATCTTTTCAAATAGTGCCATGGGATCTTTATCATCCACCTGAACAGACAGATGGGACCTCGGTTTAAAGTCTCATCAGAAGGATGGCACCTCCTACAATGCAACATATCCCCAGCGCTGCACTGGAGTGTGAGCTTAGACTATGTGATTCCAAGTCCTGGCGTGGGGCTTCAACCCACAACCTTCCTACTCGGAGAGCTACCACTGCGCACAAATGATGAACCAGTCTCAACATATTGAGCGTCCCATTTTATTTTGCGAGGACGCACAAAATCAATTGTCTGGCCTTTTTACTTGAATTTTCATCTATAACCGCCCTTAGTGCTAGATGGTCCCTTTTGTTTTGGATGCAGTGCGGGTGAATCCAGCCCTTTCCCACTTCTGCATCAGCCAAGTGTCAGCATCAGACCAGTGTTGACCTCTGTGCTCACCTTAACCTCAGGCTCAGTTGGGGGAGCACTGTACACTGTTCCACACCAACTTGTGCCTTTCCAATGGACCTCTGAGAGAGCACCGACTGACATGACTATATCTTGTTGGGAACAACTCACCGAAGAAGGGGCCGATCTCAGAGATAGATAGATATATACCAGTGAAAGGCTGCGTTGCGATCAAATGTGAGGCAAGGAGGCAAATGCTCTCGAAAGTTCAAGAGAGCTCGCTAATCGATCCCATTCATTCGTGAGCGTTCAATGATCGACGGGCTTTCTGTAAGACGGCGAGCGAAGCCTTCCTCGAACGCTCGCTCGCCAGTAAGTGCTGACGTAAGATGGAGCAAAGAAAAATCTCCGCCAGGCCCACAAGAAACAGCCTGCGATAGCAATGCATGATCGATCTCTTTGTAAACAAGGTGGGAAAGAGTGCAAATGGCTGGTGAAAACTGCACACGAGTGTGTAAATGTGTGTGTGTGTGTGTGTGTACTGGATAGAAAACAGACCAGCGACAAATAAACATGGATTTAACTGTGCACTTTATAACTTTCTTTGGTGGGAGAGTGGGTTGACTTGTTGCAGAATAACCCAGAGTTAGCCACAGAGGGTCACACTCACACACACTCACACTCACACTCACACACTCACACTCACAGTGAAGGGGATCAAAACCACAGGATTAACCGTTCACTCACCTCCTCTGCAGCACTCTCGATGTTTCAAAAAAAAATGCAATAGCGAATTGGGATTTGTTTTACTTTGCAAAACCTATTTTATACAATACATTTGTCAACGCTCTTCCCTCCCCACCGAGCAATCCCTCGATTTTCTTTTCCCTTCGTTATTTTTTGGCTCTTTCCCTTAATCTATACAATTCTTCGCAGTCAAATTAGATTCATTTCTCCCCACACTCTCTCTCTCTCTCTCTCTCTCTCCTTCCTCTAACTTTTGTTAGAACTTTCTTTTCGTTTACTGGTATTTTCCTCTTCCCTTCTGTTTATCTCTCTTTGTCTGTCTCTGTACGTCTCTCTGATTCTCTGTGTGTGTCTCATTCTGTGTGTGTGTGTGTGTGTCATTCTGTGTGTGTGTGTGTGTGTCATTCTGTGTGTGTGTGTGTGTGTCATTCTGTGTGTGTGTGTGTGTGTCATTCTGTGTGTGTGTGTGTGTGTCATTCTGTGTGTGTGTGTGTGTGTTGTCATTCTGTGTGTGTGTGTGTCTCATTCTCTGTGTGTGTGTGTGTCATTCTGTGTGTTTGTGTGTGTGTTAATCTGTGTGTGTGTGTGTTATTCTGTGTGTGTGTTTGTGTGAGAGTGAGTGAGTGGATGTGAGTGAGTGAGTGAGTGAGTGAGTGAGTGGATGTGAGTGAGTGAGTGTGTGAGTGTGTGTGTGTGTGTGAGTGAGTGAGTGCTGTGTGTGTGAGTGAGTGAGTGTGAGTGAGTGAGTGTGTGAGTGCTGTGTGTGTGAGTGAGTGAGTGTGAGTGAGTGAGTGCTGTGTGTGTGTGAGTGCTGTGTGTGTGTGAGTGAGTGAGTGAGTGAGTGAGTGTGTGAGTGAGTGTGTGAGTGAGTGAGTGAGAGTGTGTGTGTGTGTGAGTGAGTGAGTGAGTGTGTGTGTGAGTGAGTGTGTGTGTGAGTGAGTGAGTGAGTGTGTGAGTGAGTGAGTGTGTGTGTGAGTGAGTGAGTGAGTGTGTGAGTGAGTGAGTGTGTGAGTGAGTGTGTGAGTGAGTGTGTGTGTGAGTGAGTGAGTGAGTGAGTGTGTGAGTGAGTGAGTGTGAGTGAGTGAGTGTGTGAGTGAGTGAGTGTGTGAGTGAGTGAGTGAGTGTGTGAGTGAGTGAGTGTGTGAGTGTGTGTGTGTGTGTGAGTGAGTGAGTGCTGTGTGTGTGAGTGAGTGAGTGTGAGTGAGTGAGTGTGTGAGTGCTGTGTGTGAGTGAGTGAGTGTGTGTGTGAGTGAGTGAGTGAGTGTGTGAGTGAGTGAGTGAGAGTGTGTGAGTGAGTGAGAGTGTGAGTGAGTGAGAGTGTGTGTGTGTGTGTGAGTGAGTGAGTGAGTGAGAGTGTGTGAGTGAGTGAGTGTGAGTGAGTGAGTGTGGGATCCGCTGCTCAGTACAGTCACTTTCCTGACAGTTCACCTGATGTGCCGGAAAGACCGACAGTAAACAGAGTCCGAGGGCTCTCATTGATCTCCCAATGAGTGCAGGAACGAGGCGGTACTTCCGTCAGCAGCGCCCCCCCGGCCCGGGGTTTATAGCCGGAGAGGGGGCAGCACACCCCGGGCACTGGGGCTGGAGAGAGGGGAGAGAGGGCAGCACACCCCGGGCACTGGGGCTGGAGAGAGGGGAGAGAGGGCAGCACACCCCGGGCACTGGGGCTGGAGAGAGGGGAAAGAGGGGCAGCGACACCTCCAGAGGGGGAGAGAGAGAGAGAGAGAGAGACACTGCTCCAACTCTCTTATTCCAGGAGAGAGAGAGAGAGAGGGAGTGTGAAAGAGAGAGGAAAAAGCTACAAGTATTCCAACTCTCTTATTCCAGGAGAGAGGGAGTGTGAAAGAGAGAGAGGAAAAAAAGCTACAACTATTCCAACTCTCTTTTTGCAGAAAAAAGTGTGAAAGAGAGAGGAAAAAAGCAACAACTATTCCAACTCTTATTCCAGGAGAGAGGGAGTGTGAAAGAGAGAGAGGAAAAAAGCTTCAACTATTCCAACTCTCTTATTCCAGGAGAGAGGGAGTGTGAAAGAGAGAGAGGAAAAAGCTACAACTATTCCAACTCTCTTATTCCAGGAGAGAGGGAGTGTGAAAGAGAGAGAGGAAAAAAGCTTCAACTATTCCAACTCTCTTATTCCAGGAGAGAGGGAGTGTGAAAGAGGGAGGAAAAAAACAGCAACTATTCCAACTCTCTTATTCCAGGAGAGAGGGAGTGTGAAAGAGAGAGAGAGAAAAAGCAACAACTATTCCAACTCTCTTATTTCAGGAGAGAGAGAGAGTGTGAAAGAGAGAGAGAAGAAAAGCAACAACTATTCCAACTCTTTTTCCAGGAGAGAGAGAGAGTGTGTGAAAGAGAGAGAGGAAAAACGCAACAACTATTCCAACTCTCTTATTCCAGGAGAGAGAGAGAGAGTGTGAAAGAAGGAGAAGAAACAACTATTTCTAACTTTTTTTTCATCTTACAGAACTTTTTTGACTTGAAAGTCGAGTGAGTGGGAGAGAGTTGCTTTACAAGGCAGAGAGAGAGAGAGAGAGAGAGTTAATTGAGAGAAAAAGTTGTCTTTTGGGGAGTTTTTTTACCACGAAAGAAAGGATTCCTCCTCCCCCCCCCATCCCCCCCCCTCCCCACCCCCCAAAAAACCCTGACCCCCTCCCAGATCAAGAAAAGAAAGAGGAAAACGTTTTATAATAATAATAATTTCCTTCCAAAGAAAATAAAAAATGTTTTCTTCCAAGAAGTGAGAAAAAAAATTGTTCTGCCAAAAAAAAGAATTTTGTTTGATTGATTGATTGACTGACTGACTGATTGATTGATTGATTGATTGATTGATTGATTGATTAAGAAAAAAAGATTCGAACCATTAAACGATGAAAACCGTGGCTGGATCCTGGAGTTGTCCAGGGAATGGTGGTGGTGGTGGGATTGCCGGCTGGTGGCGAGTGGCATCGGCTCGGCTGCTGCTGTTGCGGTCGCTGTTGTTGCTGACGCTGATGCTGACAGCTCCCGGAGCCGCGGCTCGGCACAGAGCCGACCCGGACCTGGACCCGAACCTGGACCTGAACAGCCTGGAGCTGCTGTACGGACTCCAAGCCTCGTATGGGCAGCCGTCATCCTCCGAGGACGCCATCCTCCTGGCCAACAGCGGGGTCAGGGTCCCCTTCGGCAGGTCTGTGTCCATCGACCCTGTGGATGACCTGGTCATCCAGGTGCACCCGGGCGACAAGTGCACGGTCACGGTGCTGGACAACGACCCGCTGTCGCAGAGGCCGGGCCGGCTCAGCCCCAAGAAGTTCCCGTGCGACTTCGGCCCCGGGGAGGTCACTTACTCTCACCTGGGCTCCCGCAGCCCGAGCCGGGACCGCGTGCGGCTGCAGCTGAGGTACGACACACCGGCGGCCACTGCCGTCATCCCCTTCGTGCTGCGGGTGCAGGTGGTCTTCACGCAGCTGGAGATCGTCACCCGCAACGTGCCGCTTGCCGTGGAGCGCCTGCGGGGCACCAGCAACCCACTGGACGGCAGGGTGCTGGAGTTCGCCTACGACCCCGCCTCGCAGGTGTGCAGCGCGGGCGTGCTGGCCGGAGTCGGAGGGTTGCCGCGCTACGGGAGGCTGGTGCGGGGTCAGGAGTCCGAGGCCTGGCCCGAGCCCGGGCTGATGGTGGACTGCCAGCGCTTCCTCTCCCTGGGCATCCGCTATCGGCACTCGGCCCCCGGCAGGTCCCCCAACCGCGACCACGTCCCCTTGGTGGCCGAGCTGCACAGCCTGGACGGCCGCCTGCTCAAGCAGGAGCACTTCCAGAGCCTGGTGCGCATCCGAGAGGGCGAGGAGAACACGGCCCCCAAGCCCAGCTTCGTGTCCATGATGATGATGGAGGTGGACCAGTTTGTCATGACCGCGCTCACCCCTGACATGCTGGCGGCCGAGGATGCGGAGAGCGACCCGGGCGATTTGATCTTCAATGTCACCTCGCCTCTGGGCCACCAGCAGGGCTATCTGGTCAGCACCGACGACCGGCACCTGCCCATCGCCTCCTTCCACCAACAGGACCTCAGGGACCTGAAGATCGCCTACAAGCCGCCGGCAGTGGACTCCGATGTGGAGAGGATCTTCCAAATCGAGTTTGAGGTGGTGGACACCGAGGGTGCCGTGTCCGACCCCTTCGCCTTCATGATCGTGGTGAAGCCCATGAACACACTGGCCCCCGTCGTGACCCACAACACGGGACAGTTACTGTACGAGGGTCAGTCCAGGCCGCTGTCCAGCGGACAGAACCTGGAGATCAGCGACGAGGACAACCTGGAGCAGGTGAGGATCACGGTGGTGGACGGGCTCAGGCACGGCGACCTGAGTGTGCTGGGAGCCCGCAGGAAATTCTTCACTCCGGCCGACCTGGACTCGGGCATCGTGGTTTACCAGCACGACGGCAGCGACACGTACAGCGACAACATCATATTCCGCATGACGGACGGCACGCACGCGGTCGAGTTCCTCTTCCCCATTACTGTCGTGCCCACCGACGACGAGCCCCCCATCGTGAACGCCAACACCGGGCTGGTGCTGGCCAAGAACCAGATGCTCGCCATCTCGCCCTTCGTGCTCAGCGCCACCGACATCGACTCCGAAGACTCCACCATCGTGTTCACCCTCGAGCCGCCCCTCTCCGCCCTCGGAGAGCTGGTGCTCCGGCAACTGGAGCGGCCGGACGATCCTTTCTCCTGGAGGTTCGTCGAAAGCGAAGGGGTCTTCGAAAAAGTGGTGACTGAATGGTTCCAGCAGGACATTTTCGATGGGAAGCTGTTCTACCGACACATCGGACCTCACAGCACCACCACTGTCATGGACCAGTTTGTGTTCCGGGTTCAGGACGATAACGATCCCCCCAACCAATCTGGAGAACACACTTTCATCGTCAAAATCCAGCCAGTGGATGACATCCCCCCGGAAATGTTCCCAGGCACCACGCTGCAGATAATAGTGGAGGAGTATCATTTGACGCACTTTCGGAAGAAATGCCTTCGTTTTACCGACCTGGATTCGGACGACCGGGACCTGAAATACACCATCACAAAGCCTCCCACCAACACCGATGAAAACAACCCGGTGCTGATGGGTAACATAGTGTTAACGGAAAGTCCGGACACTTTGGTCGTGGAGTTTACTCAGGCTCAAGTCAATCACCACAAAATTGCCTACAGACCCCCAGACTTGGAGCTTGGAATCACTGCTCACGTGGTCCAGTTCGACTTCACCGTGGAGGACACCAACGGCAACAGCGCCGAGGGCACGTTTACGATCTTCCTGCAGCCGGTGGATAACAAACCGCCTCAAATAACCAACACCGGCTTCACCATGTTCGAAAGAGCCACTTACGTCATCACAAGCGCCGAGCTGGACGCCACTGATGCAGACACGATGGGATCCCAGATCACATTTACACTTTCTCAGGTCCCAGCACACGGCTACCTGCGATACGAAGGCATCGATATCGCTGGGGCCGAGGTGTTCACTTTGGATGATGTAGCTAATGGCAAAATAGCCTACGTGCACAACGGTGATGAGTCCACGGGTGATTCTTTACAACTTGACGTAAGCGATGGAGTTCATATAGTCACCATCACGGTGAGGGTAACAGTACGGCCCGTCGATGATGAAGTACCGACCATTATGCTACCCGCTGGGACAATTGGGTCCTACTTGGACGTGCTGGAAAACGGAGCCACTGAGGTCACAACTAACGTAATTCAGGGAACGGATGAAGACACGGATGACCTTCGATTGACTTTTATTGTGGAGGATAATCCCAAATTGGGCGAGATCTTGGTTAATGGGATCCCCGCTGAACGCTTCACGCAGCAGGACATTATCAGTGGCGTCGTGGTCTACGCTCACACAAGCGGCGAGATAGGACTGCAGAGAAAGGAGGATTCCTTCAACCTGACCCTGTCCGACATGTCGGATGAGTGGAACATTGGGGGCAACAAAGTGCAAGGCGTTCGTGTGCAAGTGACTATTCTTCCTGTTGACAGCCAGGCACCAGAGGTCACTGTGGGAGAGCAGTTCACTGTCGTGGAGGGTGACAAAAATACAATCACACTAGAGCACATGAACGCCGACGACTTTGACACCCCCGAAGACGACATCCTCTGCACCATCATCGTCCAACCCACCTCTGGCTACGTGGAGAACATTTCTCCGGCTCCTGGCTCCGAGAAGTCGCGTGCAGGGACAGCGGTCAGTGCCTTCACCCTGAAGGACGTGAGACTGGGACACATGAACTACGTGCAGAGCATCCACAGGTCAGTGGAGCCAGTTGAGGATCGCTTCACCTTTCGCTGCTCGGACGGGATCAATTTCTCCCGGAGGCACTTTTTCTCCATTATCATCATCCCCGCGAACGACGAGACTCCAGAGGTGTTCATGAGAGAGTTCGTGGTGATGGAGGGAATGAGCCTGGTGATTGACACGCCGATTCTGAACGCGGTCGATGGGGACGTACCTGCCGACCAGCTGACCTTCTCGATCATCAAGCCCCCGAAACACGGCCAGATCGTCAACCAGCTGACCACCGGCACCGTCCTGGTAAACAGCTTCACCCTGGAGCAGATCAGGGAGGGCTCAAGCATCATTTACGAGCACGACGATTCCGAGACGGAGGAAGACAGTTTTGAGATCAGGCTTACCGACGGGAAACACAGCGTGGAGAAGACTGTGATGATCATGGTCATTGTGCTGGACGACGAGACCCCGAGAATGTCCATCAACGATGGGCTGGAAATTGAGATGGGAGACACCAAGCCAATCACGAACACCATTCTCAAAGCCACTGACTTGGATTCCGATGACAAAACACTCACCTACATTATACGTTACGGACCAGGTCAAGGACTCTTGCAGCATCTGCTGCCTTCAGGCAACTTTGGAAACATCACGTTGGGGATGAACTTCACCCAGGATGATATCGACAGGAACCTGATCCAGTACGTGCACACCGGGCAAGAGGGCATCAGGGACCTCATCAAATTTGACGTGACGGACGGCATCAACCCGCTCATTGACCGCTACTTCTATGTCTCTGTCGGCGGCATTGACATGATCTTCCCTGACGTGGTGAGCAAAGGGGTATCTCTGAAGGAAGGTGGAAAGGTTACCCTCACGACTGATCTGCTCAGCACCAGTGACCTGAACAGCCCCGACGAAAATCTGCTGTTCAGCATCACCCGGGCACCCATCCGTGGCCATTTGGAGTGCACGGACAGCCCTGGCATGCCCATCAACACCTTCACACAGCTACAACTAGCTGGAAACAAGGTCTACTACATCCACACGTCTGAGGATGAGGTAAAAATGGACAGCTTTGAGTTTGAAGTGACCGACGGCTATAACCCCGTGTTCCGTACCTTCAGAGTGTCCATCAGCGATGTGGACAACAAGAAGCCCGTGCTCACAGTGCATGAGCTGCAGGTGAACGAGGGAGAGGTGAAACTCATCACACCCTTCGAACTGACGGTGGAGGATCGGGACACACCTGACTACCTGCTGCGCTTCACGGTGACCCAAGTCCCTGTCCACGGGCAGCTGCTGTACAACGGCACCAGGCCGGTCATGGCATTCACCAAACAGGACCTGAACGAGAACCTAATCAGCTACAGACACGACGGCACGGAGTCCACCGAGGACAGCTTCTCCTTCTCGGTGACCGACGGCACACACACCGACTTCTACGTCTTCCCAGACACCGTGTTCGAGACCCGCAGGCCTCAAATGATGACTATCCGGATCGTGTCAGTGGACAACGGGGTGCCTCAGATCGTTGTGAACAAAGGTGCCCCCACTCTGCGCATCCTCACCACCGGCCACTTGGGCTTTGTGATAACAGGCAAAGCGCTGAAGGCTGAAGACCGTGACAGCGTCCACAACTACTTAAGCTTCAGGATCACAGAGGGTCCTGACCATGGGCACATTATCAACTTGGCCAAAGGCAATGACAGCATTACTGGATTCACTCAAGGTAAGCCTCCATCCGGTTGGTGTCACCATCGTTTAAAGTTATCATTGCTTTTGAAGTGAGCTTACTTCAACAATGCATGAAATCTCTAATAAAGCTTTCAACTTCACTCCCCACCCACCCCCTTATACAAAATCCCCCATTGCGAATACTCTTTAAATACAAGTGATGTCAATTTTCCTTATAATCTGTCATCTAAGCGGTTGCAACACAAAATAATGTTCTGTACCCAAACTGTACCCAAGGTTATGCAATGATGGAGTTGGAACAGGACAAACCCATTATATATCAAGCGGAAAATGTACTAAGCAGGTCAGAGGCTCAATCAGTGTTAAATTCAAATAATTTCCTTGGCTATTGTCTTAAGATTATCGAGACTAATGCCACGTTTTGGCAACAACCGAACAAATACAGTGTCTTAATGTCTAATTTCTTAAATGAGTTTCTTAATGAGGAACCAATGGGTCGGCGTGATGTCCTTTCAGTTTTCCGGAAAGCGCTCCCATTAAAGAATCTCATTAAGAAATATCGCAAGTTAGAGGTAAGGAATACCCTTCAGAGGTAAGGTAGCTTGTCTAAATCAGCTCGAGTAATAACCTTAATGGTCTTTTCTCAATAGAGCCGACTATTTACTGCCTTTCCAGACTTTTTGAATGCAGATCCACTAAAAATAAATGGTGTCAAATAAAATCTATATTTAGCAGTGATTACAACAGGTGCAGGATATAACTCTGGAGGTTTCTAAATGTGTCTTACAGTTCAGAGACTGGTTCAGGGTGATATTAGTAGAATAACTCGCTGTTAATCTACCACTTAGGCCAGGATTTTAAATCCAAACCCGACGGGTCTAAAGTTACTTAAAAGTTGCTTTATTTGTGGGGGCTGTACAAATCTTTTTTAGGCTGGAAGTTGAAGATCCCATGACACTGTTTGAAAAGTGGAGGGAGTTTCTCCCTGTGTACTGGACAACACTCCCCCAGATAAATTTGGTGATTCACTTCATGGCTGTTTGCGGAACACTGTTGTGTGCAAATTGGCTGGCATGTTCACCTACAAATAAGCAATTACTACACTTTACAGTAATTCTTGTGAAGAGCTTTGAGATATCTTAATGACTTGATAAGGCATATTTGAAATGCAAAGAGTATTATTATCTTGTATAAAATGGGTTTGGACAGAGCCAAAGCAATTCTGACTGCCTGACAAGTGTCTAAAGTACAAAAAGGCCTCATAAATCTGTGTAAATTGTTCCGTCTTGTTTAGGCTATAAAGATGACTGGGGTGGGAAATGGAAAAATGCAAAGTATTTCTCTTCTGAGATTAGGGTTAAGGTGCAGATCAGCTGTGACAAGAGTAGAAGGAAAATCACTCCGCATATGGACTGTACTCTACATGGAATTTTTAAAAAATAATAATTTGGTCGCTCAATCCACGACTGTTTGTGGGACACTGCTGTGCGCAATTGACTGCCGTGTTTCGCCCCAAAATATACAGTCAACTTACTTTACAGTATGTTATATGAAACGCTTTGAGACGTCTCGAAGGCGCTATATCAAATGCAACAATTATTATTATTAATTAGATTTAAATGTTCCGTTCGAAGGACAGCACCTCTGATAATCTAGAGCTGTATTGGACGTGTGGGACCGTCCACTGCATTGCTGTCCAAGCTCCCGGCTGCCTCTAGATGGATGCAAAATATTCCACTGCACTATTGGAAAAGAAAAAGGGAGTTTCTCCCAGTGTGCAGGCCAACAATCCCTCAAATAAAATTGATCACTCACTTCTTGGCTGTTTGCAGGACATTGCTGCGCTCAAACTGACTGCTGCACTTTTACTATAATTACTATGAAGCGCTTCAAGAAGACTTTGACAAAATGATAAGGCGCTATATCAAATGCAAGGATTATTATTATTAACCTGCTTCAGGACACATTCTTGGCGGCAGACTTGCTCTTGTTTGTTGCCAGCGATCTCAGACTGAAGAAACTGTTTGAAGTTGTGCTGTGTAACGAGTTTGTACTGTTCCCTGACTCTCCGTAACATTGGCCGAAAACTCAAATCAGTGGTAGATTTATGCCACATTTACCCACACTTTTCCCTTTGATTTTACTCCCACTTTTGACACGAGAAATAGAACGTGAATAATCCTGAAAAGAATCTCCAGGATTTTATTTTGTGGATCAAAAGCTGATTTTAATGATCATTAATTAACCCATTACTTCATGTCTGAGACTGGATTTTAGGGGTTGCAGGCCGTTTGATTGTGGACATTGTCACAGCTGATCTGACCTCAAATACGCAGGATATTTGCAGGATACACTGGCTGGTTATTCTGCATTCCTCCAAATAATATATTTGTGTAGCATTTATTCTGAACAAACAAGGTTACCTTTAAGGTCCTTCATTCTCATTGTTTCCAGCAATGTGCCCATGTAGTATTATCTTGGCATTTGATTCAGCATCTTATCACTTGTCAATGTCTCAAAGAGCTTCACAGAATAAACTGTAAAGTATGGTTACTGGGTGTTTGAAGGCGAACGTTGTAGCCAATTTGTGCACAGCAATGTCTCACAAACAGCCATTAAGCAAATGACTAATTTAATCTGGGGGATTGTTGGCCAGGAAAATGGGAGAAATTCCTTTCTCTTTTTGAATAGTGCCAAGGGATCTTTAGTGTCCACCTGAACAGTCAGACAAGACCTTGATTTAACGTCTCACCTAGAAGGCAGTGCAGCATTGTACTGGAGTGTAAGTTTAGAGTACAAGCTCAAATACCTGACTTGGGGCTTGAGCCCACAAACTTCTGACTCAGAGGTGAGAGTGCTACCCACTGATCCAGGCTGACACTTGCCGATTGTCCAGCTCAGATTTGATTTTAGGAGTTGTTTCATTGCTCTGTGCCAGGGTTTCTGCTCCTGAGCGCTATCCAGCAAGCAACCACATCTAGAGATGCACTTATGGACATTAGCTCGGTCATGATTTCCTCCCTCGTTCCCCCCACCCGCTCAACTAGCTTGCTGCCACTCACTGCCAAGACTCCCATATGAGTATCACTCCTTAGCCAAGAGGGTGACAAGCGGCCTTGGAACTGTGCCCAGCAGAAGGGATAAGGAGTCAAAACACCTCGAGTATGGTGAGGAGAAAAAGGAGAAGCAAAAAGCAACACTCAATTCCTAAGGCATGTTTTGCATTGCCAACATAGTTTCAAAATATTTGAATGATATCAAATAAAAACCTTCGAAGAGTTCATTCAGGACACAGTTTTAATTTTTTTTTTAAAAAGTTCCCTAATTTTATTTGGGCAAGATTGTCTGTGACATTGTCCGAATTGGCTGCCATGTTCTCCTACAATTACAGTCACTATTTTCTACGGCAAAGTCCGTGAAGCACTTTAAGACATTTCAACGTGATAAGGCACTATATCGCAATGCAAGGATTATTGTTACGTAAATAAAACTTGTTGAGCAATGCTTTGAGTCAACTTTTATCTAAAGATATTCACAATATGATCTGATACACCACTGTCTTTGTGGAACTTGTAGAATTATAGAATCACAGAAATTTACAGCATAGAAAGAGGCCATTCAGCCCTTTGAGTTTGCACCAGCTTCCAGAGCAAGCTGTACGTTCAATCCCATTGCTATGGCCTAGCCTCATACCACTTCAAGCCTCTATTGTATTAGTCTGATTGTGTAACATTACTATATCCTGATATTTCTCCATAGCTCTCAGAGATAATTCATTAATGTATTTAGTTTTTATTAAAACGCTGAAAAACTGCATATGTATTTAGCAAGATTATTCAAAGAGTGGAGAATAGAGGGACACTTCTTCTGGAACTATATCCAATAGGTTCCTTTCTAATAGTCATTTTAAAAATAACCATCATTTATTAGTATTATAATGTTAACCAATGTTGATGGCTCTTCCGTTAATGTTTAACACTGTCAATATAACTTCTCGCTTGTAATGTCTCGGATGTCAGATGAGTTGGAAATGTTCTCACCTCTCGGACAGAACTTTGTGGGTTCAAGCCCGTTGTCAGGACTTGAACTCCTACTCATTGATGATACACTGTAGGGAGCACTATATTGTACTGGTTACCGTATTTTATGTGAAAGATAAACTAAGGCCCTATCTGCTTGTTCAGGTGGATGTTAAAGATCATATGACCATATTCCCCCAGTTAAATCTGTCGTTTATGTAATTGGCTGTCTGTGGGACCTTGCTGTGTGTAGAATGGCCGTCGGATTTACTTATTAAGACAAGCCAGTGCATTTGACAGTAATTACTGTAAAATACTTTGAAACATTTCAAGATGATAAGCTGCTATAAAAATGCAAGCTCTTTCTTTTTAACGATTTGCAAGATTTTGGTAGTTGGCAGTTTACCATTTTATCTTAATTTTTTGGCTTCAGCTACAAATTGAAGTTAAAATAAAGTGCTTGGATACTGTAGGTGAAAATGCATCTAATGGAAATGGGGGACTAGAAGAGAACTTTTGTTTAAAATTGCTTTGTGGAGCATCAAGATTTGGCCCCCTGAACATTCGGACCAGATCTAGGTAAATCGGTGTTATATCAATATCTTGCTTCCAGTAGCGATTATTTATGGTTTGGCTGTACATCAAGAAATATTCAATCAAGAGAAAAATTAATTTGGTTGGCCACCACTGATCTAGACAAAGGGTTATAGTCTACCACTGAGGCTCAGGAGATTAACATTGAACCCCGAAAAGTCGTGAAACAAATGGTTTGATGCATTACGTTTTAAAAGGAGGTAGATTGTGGGAAAGGAAGACTGCTGAAGGTAAGGGGCTCCACTGTCCAGGGTCCTGGAGAAGATAAGTTCAGAGTAGAGACAGTGTGATGAGTCTTGATTTCAACATTGTGACAGTGTGTGTATTTCCCGTAAAATCTCGAGCATAACGTAGTAATTATAATTATTGCAATTGTTGTAGAATTTTATCAAATCATTGAAATATCAATGTGTGTATTTCTCCTAAAATCTCCTCCACTGTGAATTTGTAGGCAAACGCGGCAGCTCACACAGTTATGAAGTGAATGCACAATTTTATCAGAGGATTGTTGGCTAGTGCAACTAGGAGAAATTTCTCTTTTGGGATAGTGCCACAGGATTTTTAACGTCCATCTGACATGAAAGGGTCAGGGGACGCACAGCAGGCAAGTCAATATACATTATATCAATTCCCTTTAAAGAGACATTTCAATGTTAATAGGTGCTATAACTCAAGGGTTATTATTTTGGATTATTTGCCCTGACACTTGCACACAATCACCTTTTCATTGTTGGAAAGTGGGAGAAAAAGTGTCTTGTGCAAGTTGGCTTTGAAAGGCTGGGATGTGGGAGAAGAGGGGGTGGGAGGTGCACAAGAATTTAAATGCATACGATTGAAGATTGGTATTCTGCTAATCTGCAAAGTATTTGCGTCTGGGTGGGTTGTGAATCCAGGTGGATTTGTTGAATTCAGACAGTTCAGAACAATAAAGAACAATTCAATTCTGCAAAGTTTGAAGGTCAATCCACTACTAAATGGGAAATGAGATTTAAAATTGTTCAAACAGCTGCAGGAAGGCCGAGCAAAAATCTAATTTAACCTGGTTTAAACTTTGGAAAGCTTACCATTCATTGTATTTTTTTGTAACAAATAAATTGCAATTGTATTGGATAATGAGCTACTAATTCTATTAGCTACTGCAGGAAAGGCAGAGAGCTCACGTGTGAGGAAAGATGATTGAGTTACTCACAAAGAAATGTTGAATTGACTCTGGTCAGGGTGTGGTTGGACAGGAATGTGTGTCTCGCTCTGAAACGGATGTTGTTGATGAACTTTGGTGCTAAATGGTTTTGTGCTGTGCTAAAGTTGATTCAGGGATGGTTACGGTAGTGTGGTCTAGGGTTGGTGATGTTAGTGTAATATAGGGTTGGTCAGGGGTGGTTTGGTTAGGGTAACAACAACAACTTGCCTTTATATAGCACCATTCATGCAGGGTAGTGTATTGGAGCAGTTAAGGTAAAGTAGGGGTTGATAGGTTAGGGTAGGGTTGGTTAGGATAAGTTTGGTTAGGGTAAGGTTAATTAAGATAAGGTTTGTATGTATTGTAGTTATTAGGGTCTAAAATATGATCTTTACAAATTAATTCAAGGGATTTGTGAATATCAGGATGTGATATCCATAACATGGTGATTCGCAACCCATTGAATTTTGAAGAGTATCCGGTAATAATAAAAATAATCCTTACGTTTGATATAGAACCTTATCATATCTTCGAGAAGTCTCAATTGGTAAGCAATTCACCTACAAAATACAGTTACTTCACGTTACAATAAAAAGCCTGCAAACCACACTGAGACATTTTGATGAAGTGATAAGGTTTTAGTGAGGTGGCTGTGACTTAGATGGGTACAAGCAAGAATCCTTTCTTCAGTAGCTCTGAGTGACAATGTCCATTGCGAACCTTTCTTTTTTCTATTATTTGAAGTTCCCAACTCTAATCTCCACAATATCCAAACTGCAGTTCACATTCACTCCCACACAAGACTCCGCAAGCCCATCCTCGCCACGCTTCTCTAGTTCTCTGTTCCCCAGTGGATCAACTTTAAGACCTCTGCTTTGCTAACCAGTTTTGTGTTTCTTTTTTCATGTTTCTCGTTTCCTCAACAACAACAACAAGATTCCATTTATAGAGCGCCTTTCACGTCGGGAGGACGTCCCAAGGCACTGTACAGTTGGGTCAGGACCCGAGCAGGGTGAGGGAAGGTAAGGGAGGGGGCGAGGAGGGGGTAGAGAGTCGAGAGGGGAGCTGAAGGCACGGTCAAAGAGAAAGATTTTGAGACCGGCCTTGAAGGAGGAAAGGGAGGAAGCGGCGAAGGCACTGGGGGATGGAGTTCCAGAGCCTCGGGGCTGAGAGGCTGAAGGCCCGGCCACCGATGGTAGGGCGGTTGGGGCGGGGATGTGGAGCAGACCGTAGCCAGAGGAACGGAGGGTACGGGCAGGTAAGTAGGGGGATAGTAGGTCAGAGAGGTAGGAGGGAGCGAGGCCGTGGATGGCCTTGTAGATGAGGATGAGGATATTGAATTCCTCCACATAATCATTGATGGGTAAACTTTCAGTCACTTTGTCCCTACTCTCTAGAACTCTCTCCCCGTATCCTACCACCTCACTCTTTCTCTGTGTTCGAAACCCATCTTAAAAATCTACCAGTTGATTACGCGATTGGCCACCTCCCACCTATCCTGTATCTCCCACCCAGCCTCTGTAAAGCAGTTTGAGATGCTCACTGATGTGCAAGCCGTTATTTAAGTACAGAATGAAAGCACCACGATCGACCCTTGTCTTTCGTAGATTGTTTTTTTTTTCAAGGTTATAACATGAACATTCAAACTACTGAGACTAAACCCCGCAAACTGACCTAAACCAGCAGGAGCTGCTCTCCACTGTCATCACTTCATAAACGGCTCTGTGAAATGCCAGCTGCATCGAACAAAATGAATTTTGTTAAAGAAAGAACCTGCCTTTTTAGAGTTTCTTATTATGTTCCGGCCTCAAAATGCTTCACTGGTGATACAATAATAATAATAATAATCTTTTCATTCGGTACAACGCCTTTCACGTCTCAGTACACTTCACAGGATTTTGCTATGAAGTGATCCATCTGTATATTTGTAGGCGAATGCAGCAGCACATTTGCACACAGCAATGCCCCACAAACAGCTGTGAAGTAAATGAACAATTTTATTTGGGGAATTGTTGGCCAAGACACTGGGAGTAACTTGCTTCCCTTTTGAGTAGTGCAGCGGGATCTTTAACAGCTGCTTTGAACAGACAGATTTTTCCAAACAAATCTCCTTGGTATTTCAGGTGAAATTGATGACATGAAGATCTGCTATGTGTTGAGAGATGGGGACAATGCCACCAATGACATATTCCACTTCACAGTTGAAGACAGAGGTAAGGGATTCCGTCTGCTCAGTGTAAACCCATGCTGTGTGGCAGTAAGATTGTTCCTCTCACTGTGTGTGTGTGTGTGTGTGTGGGGGGGGGGGGTGGGTGGGTGGCCAGATGTTCCTCACTTTAATTGCAGGAAGTGTTCTGAGGAAAGAGCCAAGGTGTTACTCTTGTCCTCTGGTATGTTCAGCGCTTTCAACACCGCGATCAGTGTTGGTGGGAAATTGTTAACCCTGGCACCCCTCACACGTACTCAGCTGTTCTCTTGCCTTCAAACACACATTAAGATTTATTTTTAAAGTGCAATTTCCTCAGGTTTGCTTTTTGAGGCTTTTAGGGACCAAAAGACTCCTCTTCAAGATGTACTGCAGTGTTCGAGTGCATTCTGTGCCCCAATTGCCTTGGAAGATGTTTTATTCACGATAAAAGGCAGGTGGAGCCTTAAACCTGGCCTGCGTTTGTGTTCAAAATTGATTTTCTATGCATTCTTGAGGAGATAAAGTACAAGGACACGAGAGCTGATAAAATGTACATTTTTGGTGTGTTCCTCTGTCAATATCTCTTTTCCGTGGGTTAAATGGTCCTGAATCCTGACATCATTCACAATTCTCTGATTTGGGAGATATCAAATGAATCTTTGCATCTTTCCAACACAGCTATCTAAGCACGTTCTTTCCCAGGTAAGAGGGAAGGAAATCTCTATTCCCCCCAAGGGAGTACTGCCGTAAGGGTAGAGCTTAAAGTGTCTTTAAAAGTCAAAGCAGAAAGATCCCTTTACACGCTGCGTTGTTTGATTGTGTTGATTAAAAGTGAAGTGGCTTGATTTCTTGGAAGTAAAGAATATAATAATAGTATATCAAAATCCTTACATTTGGTTTAGCACCTTTCGTGTTGGATGCACGTCCCAAAGCACTTCACAGAGTATACTGCAAAGTGCAGTGGCTGTTTTTGCAACAAAGGTAGGGAAAGATCTGCCATCATTCTAACCAACTGGCTGAATGGCGTATTTCTGATCCTGTGTTTCTGATCTCCATCGTCTACAGAACTACACAGTCACTAGACTTCACAATAACAGTCTCATTTCAATGATGTAATAACAACAGCAATAAAATACATTTAGAGAGCGCCTTTCACTTAGGGAGGAAGTCCCAAGGTGCTGTATCAAATGCAAGGATATTATTCAGTGGTATATGAACATTATCTTTATTGTTCCTAACTCTCCAGTGAAATACACTCCTCAGCAGCTTTTTTTAAATAGGCTTTTTGCATTTTTTTTACAAGTACTAAGTTTATCTTAAAGTGAAACTGAATATTTTGCGCCGATTAAAACCATTCTGTTTCTACAATTTGAAACTCAATCCTATAGGAGACCTTGTTGCCAGCCCCCAGCCATTCAGAAAACTTGCCGGAGGAGATTCTAGCTTTCTTTTGTTCATCTCTTAGTACAGCATTTTGAATAGTTCAGAGCAAGACAAAACCCAAACTGAATTGATGTTCAAAGAACGGCAGCATTCAGGCACGTTTTCAACAGGGGAAATTATTGATGAATATATTGTACCAAGATGCTGGACTCATTTTATAAAAAAATGTTTGATACTTTCATGAGTGGATGCTGGAGTGAATCATCTGGAAGGATGAAACCAAATAATAATAGTAATCCTTTTTTATGTTATAATGCTTTATTGAGTCATTAAAATGGCACAAGGTGCTTCACAGGATTTCTGTAAAATGCAGTGCAATGCTGTTTGTAAGCAAAATGGGCTTAAGGGTCTTTGTATCTGAAATGGGTGATTTGCTTTTTTGATAATTAAAGTTAACATTACAGATGATTTATTGAAATGGGGTTAGTGAGAAAGAGGGGTCTTGATCTCACCAGGTAGGCTAATGTTTAATGACCTTGGAAAAGTTGTTTCACGGTGTAATGCAGGGTTTGAGATTGATTTTCTGACATACCAGAATAATCTGTCAGTGTTCCTAAGATCTATTGATACGTTTCATTGTTCAGGAACCATAAATTGCAGCTGACGAGAGAGATTTTGTTCCCTGAGGTTTGGACTTGGATTCGAGACCTAACCTCTCAAAATTATATATTTTTTACTGGTTTTATTCAATTGTGTGACCACCTGTGACTTGCTCCCTTCCATCCTTTCAAGGCGCATCTCAAAACGTACATCATTGATCATGCTTTCAGTCATCTTTCCACTTCCCACATCTCTCTTCAGGTCCCACCACCAGCTCATGTGCCCATCAGTGATGTGAAGCATTTTGAGAGGTTGCCCCCCCCCCCCCCCCCACCCGTGTGAAAAGTGCTGTATAAATGTAAATTCCTTTTCTGAGCACAAAAAAGCTGCTAGTTGAAAATGTTCTCCACAGTTGGTATTTTGTCAAGTTATTTGCAGCTTTGAAAAGAGAAACTGCGAAACTTGACACTGATCCATTATTGGAATACATTTCATTGAGGTTAAGACGGAAATAAACTTGGTTCGGAATCATTTAAACGGAAATCTGACCCATGTGGTGGAAGATCTGCTTTAAAACCTATTGTTTGAATTTCCAAGGTATTAGATGCTGTATTGGATTATAAATCCTACACTACGTCTCCAGTTTATTTTGTTGAAGGACAGCTGTGCAAATGTTCATGGTCATCAACCGAAAATATTGAGAGTCAAAGGAACATAGGAACAGGAGGATGCCATTCAGCCCTTTGAGCCTGCTCCACTATTTAATTAGATCTATTTAATCACTGATCTGTACCTCAACTAATCCTTTCGATTCCAATTTCCCACTTTCTCCCCATATCCCTTAATACCCTGACCTACCAAAAATCTATCAACCTCACTCTTAAAGGTATGGATGGATCCAGCAATGAGCAATGATGTGGAATCGTGGACCCATATTGATTTACGGCACAGAAGCAGGCTATTTGCCTGTGGAGTCCTGCAGCTCAGTGGTTAGAGCACTTGCCTCGCAAGCGAAGACCTGGGTTTAATTCCCGCTAGGTCGAAATGTTGGGCAAATTTCCTTACTCCACATGTCTCTGTTTATCTAGCAGTAAGTAGGAACCCAGTTGGTAGTCGATCTCTTAACAGGGGGTAATAATTTCTTCCAAAAAAAATTGGCCACTTCAATCCACGACTGTTTGTGGGACACTGCTGTGCGCAATTGGGTGCCGCCTTTCACCCACAAAATATACAGTCAGTTCGCTTCACAATATATTCTGTGAAGCGCTTTGAGATATCTAGAAGACATGATAAGGTGCTATATAATAATAATAATCCTTGCATTTGATACAGCACTTTTCACGTCTTCTCGACGTCTCAAAGCGCTTCACAGAATATGCTGTAAAGTGAATTGACTGTATATTTGTGGGCGAAACGCGGCAGCCAATTGCGCACAGCAGTGCCTCACAAACAGTCGTGGATTGAAAACAACCAATTTTTTTTGTTGCTTTTTTGGAGGGATTATTATCAGGCGTGTGCAGTAAGGAAACTTGTCTAAGGTTTCGCCCTGCCTGGAATTGAACCCAGGTGTCTCACTTGCAAGGGGAGTGCTCTAACCACTGAGCTTCAGGACTCCACAAATGCAAGGGTTATTGTTATTTGGCCCAGCGAGTTTACACCAGCCCTCAGAGCAAGCTGTTCATTGAATCCCACTGCCCAGCCTTATCCCCCTTCAAGCCTCTATTTTGCATATACGTGTCTGCTTCCCTCTTGAAACCCACAATGGACTTTGCCTCTGCCGCCTTACTTGGCAGGGCATTCCACATCCCAGCAACTCTGTGTAAAACATTTCTCCTAAGGTCTCCTTTTGCTCTTCTTGTGATTTCCTTATAACTATGGTCCCTAGTCACTGACTCCCCAGGAAATATTTGTTCAGTCACAGGAAGGCCGGCCGCTGTTACCTTTTGAGGAGAACATCCTCCTTGGTCAGCTTCCAGTCCCGTCTCCAAAACCAGGCCAAGTACAGGGATGGGGTTAGGAATCGAATTAGATAATAGTCTAACCTGAAGGGGGAAGAATTATTGCTGATCCACTGACTAATCCGGAAATATTTCTTCAAAAACTTTATAATGTTGCCTTTTGACAACCTTGGGCAAGTTTCCTTACTCCACACACCTAATAATAATCCCTCCCAAACCAAAAACAATAATAGAAATTGGTCATTTACAATCTACGACTGTTTGTGGGACATTGCTGTGCGCAATTGGCTGCCGCGTTCGCCCACAAATATACAGTCAATTCAATTTACAGTGTGTTCTGTGAAGCACTTTGGGACGTCCTCCCGACGTGAAAAACGCTATATCAAATGCAAGGATTATTATTATTATTATTGACCTATATTAACTGTCTACATAGTCCAACAAAGGGTTAATTTTAAACTTGGAGGCTAGACATTTTTTAACCTGGGATTTGCCAGTAAACCTGGGATAATTAAAATGTGTGTGCAAAAGACTCGTTGCTGGAATGAGTTGTTGCTTCCCTCCTTCCTCTCCCGTCACGCCCTTCTTGAACCTCTCCAATCGGGTTTCCATGCTGCCCACAGCACAGAAACAGCCCTGGTCAAACTGCCAAATGACATTCTGTCCATTTGTGACCAGGGCTCCCTCTATCTCCGCATCCTCCTTGACCTCTCTACTGCCTTCGATACCGTTGATCACTCTATCCTCCTCCACTGCCTCTTCTCTTACTTCAACCTCCACGGTGCTGTCCTTGACTGGTTCAGATCGTACTTCCCACAACGCCTCCACCATCTCCACAAACGTTTTCTCCTTTAGCCTTTGCACTATGTCGTGCGGCATTCCTCAAGACTCTGTCCTTGGTCCCCTCCTCCTCAATATCTATTTGCTCCATCTTGGTGACATCATCCGCAGACATGGGATCAATCTCCACATGTATGCGGGTGACACCCAACTCTACCTCTCTGCCTCCACCCTTGACTCCAGGACCACTGCTGTGCTGACAGAATGTCTGTCAGAAATTAAGTCCTGGATGAGAGCTAACTTT